AACTCAACCATAAAAAATGTATGCTGTGTAGTTTTATTACCTCTGACACGCACATCGATAAAAAGCTGTATTTGAAAATACTCTTAAGCACCTTATTCACGGTCCATTTTGCTGTACGTCCCGCCAAAGCGAGTCATGCACGACGTACGATAGAAAACGACAATGAGTAGAGTTAACGTACGTCAATAATTACGTTGACTTACGTAATTATTGACGTACGTCAACTCTACTCATTGTCGTTTTGAGTCATGCGTTGTGCATGATCTTGGCGGGACATACATGAAGATGGACCGTGAATAAAGCACTTAAAGTGCTTACCTCTCCGGCAAATGCAGATTTATAGTATAGTTATAATCGAAAACATAATATTATAATACTTTATATCGTCCAAATTATTTCTCATTTTATTCATATTTTTAATGAAACTATACTCAAATTTTCTATTTTACGCTCGTGTTTTATAAAGTACACACACGCACACGCACACACACACACACACACACACACACACACACACACACACACACACACACACACACACACATATATATATATATATATATATAATGCAATTCTACTCAGCTGCGCACCCATGTCAACGAGGGTTAGGGCGTCCCCCCAAGGCGACGCACACCAGCTCGTCCCCGTTGGTGTGGAATGCAGCGCGCAAAGCGGCGATGGGGACCGCCACCCGTCACGCACAGCCCGACACGGCGGAAGGTGGAGGACGGAGTGCAGAGTTGGCACGTGGAATGTTAGAGGAGGCATGAGAGATAAGACGAATGAGTTGATCGAAATAATGAAAGAAAGAGAATTAGATGTCGTGTGTATGTCGGAGACCAAACGGAAGGGCAGTGGTACTGAAGAGCTCCCTGGCGGGGCGTTTGCTCTATGGTCCGGAGTCCCGGAGAGCGAGAACGCCTGCCAGGGAGTGGGGGTGCTGCTGTCTTCTCGGTTGGTCGATGTTATGACTGAATATAAGTTTGTGAACTAAAGACTTCTCTGGGTTCGCTTTAAATTGGGACTGACGAAGTTATTCCTTTTGGCTGTTTATGCGCCGGTGGTTTCGTCGTCCAGGGCTGAGCTGGAGGAGTTTTGGGAGAATGTAAGAGAAGTTCTAGATTTGTTCTAGGTCTGTCGCATCCGAAGCTGGAAGCTTCAGGAAGCGGATACTAGGGACAAATATCATGCGACGGTAGCCGAAAAGCTTGACACCATCGATGGCAGAAACGAATGTGTAGAAAGAACATGGCAGAACCTTAGGGATGGAATGGTAAGTGCAGCGGAAGAAGTGTGTGGAACAATAAAAAGAGGCAGTAGTAAAAGAAGAGATGCATGGTGGAATGATGAAGTGAAAGAAGCTGTAAAGAAGAAGAAGAAAGCATGGTGAGACTACTTGGCCTCTAGTAATGATAAGGATATGAGAGAGGAGATGAAAGAAAGATATAAGCTGCAGAAAGTTCACACGAAAGCATTGATTGAGGAAGTGCGTGAAAGGTGTAGAATGGAAGCGGATGAAAGGTTGTCGCACAACTTTAAGGAGAACTCCAAACTCTTCTGGAAAGAGGTTGGAAGGACCCGAAGTGGTGCGACGGCCTTAAGAATGAACAAAGTGCTTTCGAGAACTAATGACGTCCTCTCAGAAAAATCGGACGTCATGCAGCGATGGAGCGAATTTTATAGAGAAATGTATGCTTGTGATGATCTTAGTGAGGGATCCGGGGATGACGCCGTAACTGGCACGCCAGACCCAGACCTCGATGACACTGAGGTCATCAGTATGAAAGAGATTGAACGTGCAATTCGAAGTTTGAAATGTGGTAAGGCTGCAGGACTAGACTGAGTTACTGCTGAAATGGTCAAGTATGGTGGGCCTCGCGTCTGGGACAGCTTTCATCTGCTGTGCAATTTGTGCTGGCGGACGGGGGATGTCCCGGATGATTGGCGATCCGCAGTCATTGTGCCTTTATATAAAGGTAAAGGTTCACATTTTGACTGCGGGTGCTATCGGGCGATTAGCTTGACCACTTTAGCAAGTAAAGTTTACTCGAAGATTTTGACACGTAGGATGCAAGAGAAATCGGAAAGATTTCTATGGGAGGCACAATGCGGATTTAGACCTGGAAGAGGATGCACGGATCAAATTTTTTCTCTCCGTATGATCACGGAAAAGCTTCTGGCTGTTAACCAGAAGATTTTCTGTGCTTTTGTGGATCTTGAGAAAGCATTTGATAAGGTTGTAAGGAAGAAAATGTGGGAACTGTTGCCGGGGTATGGTGTGGATGGCCGATTGCTAAGGGCTGTGCAGTCTCTTTACTGTGACTGTAAAGCCTGTGTGCGGGTAGGGCATGACCTGTCACCCATGTTTAGCGTCCAAACGGGCGTAAAACAGGGTTGTGTCATGTCTTCCTGGCTGTTCATACTGTATCTCGACAGCTGTTTACAAAAGCTGAAAGATAGCTGTTTGGGTGTGAAATTGGGTGACATAAAAGTAAATTGTCTGCTGTATGCTGATGATGCAGTGCTTATTGCACCATCAGAGGCAGAACTGCAGGCATTAGTCACGTGTATGAAAGAGGAATGTGAAATTAAAGGTCTCCGTTTGAATGCTAATAAAACTAAGGTTCTGGTATTTGAAAGGGACGAAGAGAGAACGAAGTGTGAAATATGGGTAAATCAGGAATGTCTAGAACAGGTAAATGAAATTGTATACTTGGGGAGTGCTTTTAGCCGGGATGGAAGATGTGATTTAGATGTGGACAGGCGTGTCGCTGCCGGGAACAAAGTCAATGGTGGACTACGTTAGTCAAAAGGCAAGGCGTAGCGAAGAGTGCACGCCTTGCAATACATAACGCAGTGTTGTTACCGACTTTGTTATATGGCAGCGAAACCTGGGTATGCCAGAAGAAGCATAAAAGTAAGTTGAATGCAGTGGAGATGAGATCTCTTCGTAAAATGTGCGGCGTTACTATGGCCGACCGAAAGCGAAACGAAGAGATTCGCAATATGGCAGGTTTGAAAGATGACCTTATCACAAAAATTGATAAGGGCGTGCTTCGGTGGTTTGGGCACGTTGAGCGAATGAGTGAAGACCGAATGGTGAAGAAAATATATAGCGCGAAAGTTAATATTAAAAGGTGTCGAGGTAGACCGAGACTAACTTTCGAAGACCATGTGAGCAAATTGCTCGAAGAGGGTAGGGTCAAAAGTACTCGGATACCTAGACGTGCATGCATGAAGAAGATAATGAATCTGAAAGAAGCGAAAGAGGTTTGTAAGGATCGTGACACTTGGCGATCTGTTCTCTCTGGCTACCCCGTCAGGGATTGTGCGTGAAGATAAGTAAGTAAGTAAGTAAGTATATATATATATATATATATATATATATATATATATATATATATATATATATATATATATATATATATATATAATGTGGTGCTACAGGGAATGGCACTATTTATTCCATCATCTGTGGTACCTATCGGTGGCAGAACCCAGCCATGGCTTGTCCTGCAAAATTACATTACGCCATAAGCAAGATTGCTACCAGGCCTGGGCTCATGCATTGACGTCTCGGGATACAAATACCAGCGCTCTTAAAAAGAACTATAGTTCCGCCTCCAGGTCCTTTAAAAGTGCCATTGTCAAGGCAAAGTCAGAGCACATCGGCAGAATTGGTGAGAAACTAGTTCGTCTTCCTTCAGGAACACGTGCATTTTGGTTCCTCGTCAAGGCTGTTCAAGGGGACTTCAGTCAGCTATCTCTCCCATCTCTGCACAGGGAGGACGACTCACTGGCCCTTGCCGCAAAGGACAAAGCCGATCTGCTGGGCTCTCTCTTTGCGTCCAACTCGACTCTTGATGACGAGGGGAACACACCGCCAAACATCTCGCGATGTGAGTGCTCCATGCAGGATGTGCTGTTTACCCAACACACGAGAGCACACTTCTCCCTGTACGTCAACAAGTCGAGTGGGCCTGATGGCATCCCTCCTATTGTGCTGAAAACGTGTGCTCCAGAGTTGGCACTGATTTTAACGCGTCTGTTCCGGTACTCCTACTCCCTAGGCGTAGTCCTGAAATCATGGAAGACAGCTTTCGTGCACCCGATCCCGATGAAAGGTAACCGCTCTGATCCGTCCAAATATAGGCCTATCGCCATCACCTCTCTGTTTTCTAAAATAATGGAGTCCATTATTAACAACCAGCTCATGCGGTACCTTGAGGATCACCAGCTGATTAGTGACCGTCAGTACGGTTTCCGTTGCGGTCGCTCAGCTGGTGATCTTCTGAGTTACCTAAGTCGTAAATGGGCGGAGGCAGTGGAGTCCAAGGGGGAGGTGTTGGCCGTTAGTTTGGACATACCCTTCGTTGGACATCAAAATCAATTTCTCATACGGGGAGTTCTTACCTGGGCTTAGGTCTTCGCCTGATGAGAGTTCGGATGCGATCCCCGATTGGAATTGGCGTAAGGCAGACTTTCAAGGTCTATATACTGCGTTAGCTGAATTAGATTGGTCCGAGTTAATGACTTTTACAGACGTAAATTCGGCCGTAATTTTTTTTTACAACAAATTGAAAGAAATTATTAATTTATTTGTACCAAATAAAAAGCTTTCTCCATCGTCAGTATGTCTATCCGAAGTGGTCCACGCCTGAGATCATAGAAAATATTTAAAAAAAATTTCATCGTAAGAGATTTAAGCAAGAAGGCAAATTATTTAACAAATAACTGTTTAGCTTTTATCGATGGAGGGTTAAAACCTTAATTGACAACGCATATGAGCAGCACCTTAAGTATTTTTTTGGAAATATGTTAGTGATAAAAAGAAAGAAAGACGACTTACTGAAACGTATAGTTATAAAAGTGCAGAAGTCAGAACAGGTCAAGATGCGGCTAATGCCTTTGCTGAATATTTTGGTTCAGTATTCCATAATGAAAAGCCCCTATTAAATTATGTAGATGCCGTAAATGCGGCCAACTCACAAATTAACGTGATGCCCATCTCAGTCAGGCAAATAGACGAAAGTGATTTTAGATTGGCAATAAGACGCCTAAAACCACGATCTGGTGGTGGACCTGATCGCATTCCCGCTTTTCTGGTCAAGGATTGTGCGCCAGCTCTTCGTTCACCGCTCTTGTTTATTTTTAATCTGTCCCTTAGACAGGCTAAATATCCAGAACAATGGAAACTATCTAGGGTGACACCTGTTCCAAAGGGAGAACCTGGAAAATATGTTTCTGCTTTTAGACCTATTGCGGTGCTTTCGGTTCTGGCGAAGATATTTGAAACCATGTTGGACTTTCGCATTAGGAATCAGGTAGATAACATTTTGCATGAGAGTCAACATGGCTTTCGAAAGAATCGTTCAACGACTTCTAACTTGATAGCGCACGTGGACTATGTCTGTGCTGAGATGGATTCTAGGAAACAGGTAGACGCCGCCTATTTCGATTTTAGGAAGGCTTGACCTGGTGAGTAATGACATACTGATACATAAGCTAAATAAGTTGGGCTTTACTCCGAAACTTCTTCAACTCTTTGCTAGCTATTTGGATAATCGTCGTCAATTTGTTAGAGTGAGTGGTTTCGAATCCGCTGATTATTTCACTAGATCTGGGCTGTGTCAGGGTAGTACTATTGGCCCTACGCTGTTTTAAATTTTTATAAATGACTTGCCTACCAAAGTAAAATCTGCGAAGTGTTTGTTATTCGCGGATGATCTAAAATTAATTTTGGCGATTGGTAGTGTTGCTGATGCACAGGCTCTTCAACGAGACATAGATGCGGTATCGAAATGGAATGAACTGAACCATCTTCCTCTTAATGTGACTAAATGAAAGGTTATCACTTTTGCATTAAAACAGAATCCTGTCATTATTAATTATAACTTATAAGATGCGCCTTTGGTAAGAGTATATGACATACGTGACTTAGGTTTAATATTAGATAGTAAATTGAGTTTTCACAATCATATGACATCCATTTGCAAGTTAGCTAGGAAGACTTTGGGTTTTGTGATGAGGACTGCAGCTGACTTTGATGATATAAGGGTGGCTAAAACTTTTTACAATGCGTATGTTCGTAGCAAGCTAGAGTATGCATCTGTGGTCTGGAATCCTTACGAGAAAAAGTATACTCTCTTGTTAGAGAGGATACAACGTAAATTTGCTCGTTGGTTTTATAAGAAAGTTCATGGGTACTACCCTTATTTGTATCCTTCTTTATTCGTCTTGGGTATGGTTGATTTTGGAACCCTAATGTTTAGGAGGGTGATTAGGGACTATTAGGCACTATCTTTCTATAATTCACCACAAGTTGGATTGCCAGTCGGTTATGGAGAGAATCGGTTTGTTAGTGCCCAGGTAGCTGCAGAGAGGTAATGGAGGAACGGTGGCTCCGCGCCGTAGGGCGCGTCTTCTAGATAGACCAGTTACGCGTACCAAACGTGCTGCTTTTGCACCAACAAATCGTGCATTAATACTTATAGGGGACATACTCACTCCGCATGATGAAATTGACCTATTTGCAGACAGTATAACACGTCTGCTGACTCTTTTTTATAAAATTATTGATGATATGACAATTAATAATTCGACAATTTAATTTCGTTGACTATGTACTATTTATAATTTATATTTAAGACGTAATTTTAATTATGGACATATTAAGATTGTTATTAGTTTTTAATGACATTGCATTATAAATTAATATGACAAAATATTTCATTGTATAATTATTAATACTTTATTGTTTTAATTGGCTTTATTACCATTTTAATTTCTGACACGGGCTGCCAAAAGCTTCGAGATTTTATATTACTAATATTTTATAATTAATTAATTTATGATTATTAATTTTTGTAGTTATGGATGGATACTATTTCTGAAAAAATTTTTTGAATGTAAAATTTAAACTTGTGCGCGTGTTGGATTTTCTGTAAGCCACAAGTTTATGAATTAAATAAATAAAAAAAAATAGCGAAAGCGTTCAATCAGGTTTGGCACAAAGCGCTTCTTTCGAAGCTGCCTTCGTATGGACTTCCCGAGAAATTGTGCAATTGGATCACCAGTTTTCTTGCAGATCGGAGCATCAAGGTCGTTGTAGACGGTGTAGTAGACGGTGAATGGTCCGATTACAAGCCCATTAACGCTGGTGTTCCACAAGGCTGCGTGCTATCACCAACGCTGTTTCTTCTGCACATCAATGATATGTTGCAAACCAGTAACATTTATGGCTACGCAGACGACAGCACTGGTAATGCTTTATAAACCCGCCTTGCCAATATTTCTCGGAAAAAGTCGCCAAGTACCGGAACAAACTTGTGTCTGAAGTCGAGACTTTGTTGAACAAAGTCTCCTACTGGGGGCTACTAAATCTAGTCCAGTTCAATCCCCAAAAGACACTAGTTTGGGCGTTTATCGCTAAAAAGAACTTGTTTGTGGTATCTCCTCAGTTTCAAGGCACACACCTTGTTGCCTCAGCCAGTATCGGAGTCCTCGTTGTCGACATATCGAGTGACGTGTAGTTTCGTGGTCAATTGGAAGAAAAGGCCAAATTGGCCTCTAAAAAGCTTGGCGTGCTCAGCAGAGCGGGATAGTATTTCATGCCGGCACACCGCTTGCAACTTAACAAGGCGCAGGTTTGACTTCACATGGAATACTGTTTCCATCTCTGGGTAGGGGCTCCTCAGTGCCAGCTCCTTCCATTTGACCGCATCCAGCGTATAGTGGCTCGAATCGTCGACGACCGAGTCCTTTTCGATCGGCTCGATTCATGGGCACTGGGAAGAGATGTTGCATCCCTTTGCATTTTCTTTCGCATCAACCACGGGGAGTGCTCTGAGGAATTGTTCGGATTAATCCCAGCCGCCAAATTTCACGAACGCACATCGCGGCAGAATTCCCGATACCATCCACACCATGTGGATAATTGGCGGTCCACCACTGTGCGATTTATTGATGTTTAGCAGCAGTATGTGCAAAAAAATTGTGTTGTGGTTGCCAATCTACTCGCGAAGCGCGACTACTATAGTTATTATTTCTTACATATATTATATGAGGCAATCTATGAGGGAGGCCTATATTCACTAGTTGTCTTTTTCCACTTCTGGTCACATGCTTCTTCTCATTTATAAAACTGCGCTGTATTAACGAACTTCACATATCTTCTATTTTGTGACCACACGATGTTAGGTAAAGTCAGTAATTAATAATGCTATAATTAATTATACCTGAATTTTAAAAGCGAGTGCTGAACCCTTGAGCTACGACGGCTCTTATTAGTTATGGTTAACTATTACCTTGTATTTTTTTACCTAATTCTGCATCTAACGAGAAACGATGCTCCATTCAACCTCGTGATAAAGTTTCTTTTAAAAATTTGATGGTATGCCCTTATCGAGGAGGTATTAACGAAATTTGATGGTACTGGATACTGGTGATGCTTTATACACCGGCCGTGCCAATATTTCTCGGGAAAACGTTGCTGAGTACCGGAACAAACTTGTGTCTGAAATTGATTCTTTGCTAAACAAAGTCTCGAATTCGGGGCTACTAAATTTAGTCCAGTTTAATTCTCAGAAGACACAAGTTTGCGCGTTTACCGCTAAAAAGAACCCCTTTGTCGTATCTCCTCAGTTTTAAGGCACTCCCCTTCTTGCCTCAGCCAGTATCGGAATCCTCGGAGTCGACATATCGAGTGACGTGCAGTTTCGTGGTCACTTGGAAGAGAAGCACCTTAAAAACGGTAAGGCCCCAGGCGAGGATGGAATTACAGCGGAGCTTCTGAAAGCGGGTGGAAGACCGGTACTTGAAGTCCTTCAGAAGCTCTTTAATTCCGTCCTCCATGGTGGCATTACACCGGAGGCGTGGAGCAGAAGTGCGGTGGTCTTGTTCTTCAAGAAAGGTGACAACGCTCTCTTGAAGAACTACAGACCGATTTCCCTTCTGAGCCGCGTCTACGTGCTGTTTTCGAGAGTCATTACGAATCGTCTCGCGCGCAGACTTGACGACTTCCAGCCTCCCGAACAAGCCGGTTTCCGAAAGGGCTTTAGCATCATAGACCACATACATACCCTTCGGCAAATTGTACAGAAGTCCGAAGAGTACAATTTGCCACTATGTCTGGCGTATGTGGACTATGAGAAAGCCTTTGATTCCGTCGAAATTTGGGCGGTGCTGCAGTCCCTTCAGCGGTGCCAAGTTGACTGTCGGTATATCGAAGTGTTGAAGTGCTTGTACAGTAGGGCTACGATGGCTATCCGAGTACAGAACCAGAGTACGAAACCTATCCAATTGCAGAGAGGTGTAAGACAGGATGACGTCATATCCCCGAAACTCTTCACCGCTGCATTGGAAGACGTTTTCAAGCTTCTGGACTGGAAAGGATACGGTATCAACATCAATGGCGAGTACATCACTCACCTTCGATTTGCCGACGATATAGTCCTTATGGCAGAATCGCTGGAGGACCTAAGCACTATGCTCAATGACCTCGATAGTGTTTCCCAACGGATAGGTCTTAAGATGAACATGGACAAAACAAAGATCATGTTCAATGTCCATGTCACACCTATGCCGGTAGTTGTTGGGAGCACTAAGCTCGAAGTTGTTGACGAGTATGTTTACCTGGGACAAATAGTCCGACTAGGTAAGTCCAACTTCGACCGAGAGGTCAATCGACGGATACAACTCGGCTGGGCAGCGTTCGGGAAGCTACGACACATCTTCTCGTCAGACATACCTCAAAACCTGAAAACGAAATTGTACAACCAGTGCGTGTTGCCAGTGATGACTTATGGAACTGAGACGTGGTCCTTCACTGCTGGCCGTATGAGGAAGCTCAAGGTCGCTCAGCGAGCTATGGAGAGGGCTATGCTCGGAGTTTCTCTGCGTGATAAACTTAGGAATGTGGATATCCGCAGTAGAACCAGAGTAACCGACATAGCCCAACGGATTAGTAAGCTGAAGTGGCAGTGGGCCGGCCATATAGCTCGAAGAACCGACAACCGATGGGGAAGAAAGGTTCTCGAGTGGCAGCCTCGTACCGGTAGGCGAAGTGTAGGTCGTCCCCCCACGAGATGGAGTGACGACCTGGTAAGACATGCAGGAAGTCGATGGATGCAGGTGACTCAGGACCGTGCTTTGTGGCATTCTTTGGGGGAGGCCTATGTTCAGCAGTGGACTTGTGAAGGGCTGTAATGATGGATGATGATGATTGGAAGAGAAGGCCAAATTGGCCTCTGAAATGCTTGGCGTGCTCAGCAGAGCGGGATAGTATGTCATGCCGGCAACTTTACAAGGCGCAGGTTTGACTTCACATGGAATACTGTTTCCATCTCTGGGCAGGGGCTCCCCAGTGCCAGCTCCTTCCATTTGACCGCATCCAACGTAGAGTGGCTCGAATCGTTGACGACCGAGTCCTTTCCGATCGGCTCGATTCATGGGCACTGCGAAGAGATGTTGCATC